GAAAGCTTGTAAAACCAATTTTGAATTGCACGACCCACTCCGTTGCTTATGCCAGGATTTTAACTCTCATTCCAGCACGTTTGATATATCAGATCCGCTTTTCAGCATTAAGAAAGCGATACTCTCCTCTCTCAATAAGTGAATTATTGACATAGATACATAAAATCAGCTGATGAATTTTGTTCTGTAGCTGAACAGTTTTAGATCTCGACACTTAACAAACTCCTGCCTATCGTGACTCGGCACAAAAATTTAAAATATTGGTTCCGTACGTCATGCGGACTGCACCCCTCGTGCGGATGGGCGGGAATGGAGGGTAAAAACCGTTGGGATATTATTATTATTATTAAAACAACAAAAACTATATACGATAAGTCAGTGTGATTTTCAATTTACTGAGTAGCAATTTAAATATGTAGGTGTGCCATAAAAATTTTAGATTTTCATATTTTTAAGGACCACCCTAATTTATATGAAATTCAAACAATATTTTGTTTAATTAATATGCCAAGGTATTTAAGGTGTTACATAAATAAAATTGCCTTGAGGTGTTTGACTAAAAATTTCAAAAGAATTTCACACATTTTTTACAATTCTTAAGTTGGAGTACCTTAAATTTGCTTGGTTTTCGATAAAAATTATTTTGATTTTGTAACTGTAAACCGCAATTAGCAATAATTTAGCATTTTTGACTATGGTTAAACTGTTTTTTTTTTATGAATTTTTTGTGTTTTCTTTTTTATTTTACATGATGTTTCCTGATTTTTTATACTTAATACATGCATACATAGCCGTCATTAAAGCATTGTACATACATACATATATATGTATATCTGCATTGCAATTATGTAGGTATGTATCTGTACTGGGTGTGAATGTCATAATATTTTTGTTTTGCCTTCAGTTTGTTTTTTGTTTAAATTTTTTTTTTTGTTTTTATTAAATTAGAGCGGCTTCATTTTTCACGTGGCTAGTAGGATTTTTGTTTGTTTAAGCATGTATGCACCTTTTTTGTTTGAATTATTCTAATTACATATATGTTTCTTTGCACATTCCTCAATTACATCCATACATACCCGCGCACATTTATAAAATTGAAAGACATACGACGATCTTCTGAATGCTCTTTTATGCTGGCTTATGAAAAAAAAAACTATTTTTAATATGTAGAATATATAAATAACAATTTTAATTAATACACACAAATGTATGTGCACGTAATCACATATGTACGCACATTAGGGCGGAGTAATTTATTTTCGAAAAAAGTGTATGGCATATTCGAATTCTACGTTCGATTCTAATCGAAAATGGTGAACAAACTTTATGACAATAATGACGTTCGACCCTCCCAATTTTTAAAAGAAACATCAGATTATTACATTTGAAAAAATTTTGTGTTTTCTACAAATTTAAGAAACTACTTCACAAAACCAATTGCAATTTTAAAATTTTTTTGGCACAGTGAAAAATAAATTTTGACCAATAAAGCTACGACATATTGCTTTTTCTTTTAAAAATTGGGAGGGTCAAACGTCATTTTTGGTATATAGTTTGTATGTCATTTTTGTACAGAAGAAGATAATCGTAGAATTTGAATTTGCTATACACTTTCTTCGAAAATTTCGCTCTGAACAACTCCGCCCTAATGCATATATATAAATACATACATATATAGAAAATCTATGCTCTATATTACATAACTTTCTTTTTTATGCCTGCGAAAATTTGTTGAATGGATTTTTTTTCCTGTTTTTATTTGCCATATTATTCCTTATGCCATTTTCCATTTTCTATACGCCTTTGCATTTCACATTTGCATTTCAATGCGGCTTTAAATAGACAATCAATCAAACAATCATCAATCACATATAGCTCGAGTGTAACGGTAAATTGTATATAAATGTAAATTTAAAGTAAAATTTAGCTAGCAAACACTTTACAATAACAACTCAATTTTAAATGGAAGGAATAACGCAATCTCAAAATTCAATTTCTTCTTACACAACTTGCCACTCTGCCTCTGCCTCTGACTACACATTTTTCATTTTTCACTCATAGCACGCAGTTCGCAGCCGTCTGTTAGCAATTTGCATTCTCCATTCAACTTTTAAATTATGTTACATACATACATATGCATACGTACATATGTACATTAGGCCATACCAGAAAAAAAGTCCCTCGCACACACCTGAGTCTAAAGTATTTTTGTTAGGCGATTTCGGAAAAGGATTTGTTTTTTTTTTACGTACGTAGGGGTGGTCGCCCTTTTACATTTTTCCGCACATCTTCAGCATTTACAGTCGGATCTTAAAATATGATATATGTAGCTATCAATAATTTTGTCTCGTGTAGCAAGTTATTCTGTTCCAAAGCATCGAGTACCCCATTCTAGTACCTACATACCAGTTCTCAGTTGTTATCACCCTAATGTCAGTAAAGCAAGGCTCGTCAAAAAAACGTGACTTTTACCAGGGAAGTATTTTGATTCGAAGACATTCTCGATTTTTTTTTTCGAACGTAGGGTTCGCCTTTTTAAATTTTCCTCATACCTTCAGCATTTCCAGTCTGATTCTCCTAACGCACCACCCTATTGTCAGTAAATTTAAGCTCACCAAAAATAATTAAACTATTGTTACAGAAATATTTCGATGATTTCAGCAGAACTATTTTAAAAATTTGGTTTTATTGCCGAATGTTTGTGGCACGATAAAGGTTTGGCCAAACGATTTTTTATATATATTTTTTTAATTGCCTTGCAAAAACTCTTTAGACTCAGCGGTGTGCGGCGCACTTTTTCGTTTGCCTGAAAGGTGGTACGGCCTAATATACATACATACATACAAAGAGTAGTATAACTAAACTCAAGTCAATGCAATTGAATTTCATAAACTCTGTCTTTGTTTATAATTCACTACTTAATTTTATTAACATAAATATTATATCTACAAGTACACGTTATTTTGAATGTAAATATATATGTTTATATATATATAAGTAAGTAAGTATGTTATATTATTTATTACTATACATATGTTTATTTATGTTAAACCCTTTTGCACAAATTTCTTCTCCGGTCGACAACTATAAACCTCTAAGTTTCCTTAGACCCCTACACTTAAATGTACTAATAACTGCTTCTCACAAGTTTTCAGCTTTTTTGTTTATTTATTAAATTATTTTTTAAGACTTGCTCCGTATTATCTTTTTCACTTTAAATTAAATTTATTTTGTTTTTTAATTTTCACTATTTTAAAAATTTGCCAACTACTATACTTGGATTCACAATCTTCACATTTGAAACATTCTACCAAATACTCATATTCTCATTTTCATATTTGTTTATATTATTTAGTTTTGATTTAAAACTATACTCGCTTATTTGAGTTTAACTTCAATTATTAGAAAATATATTTCTTCCGTTTTTTTTTTGTTTTTCTTTTGTATGCATTATAATTATAATATATTTAAATTAATTTATTTGCTATTGGCTAATTTAGTTACAAAATACAGCATGTCGTTGAACAGCATCTACTGGAACCTCCTTTACTCTTTTGTCTTTGATCTGTTTGTAAGAGGAAGATAAAGAAAATATTTTTGTTACTCAAGGTTTAAAAACACTCGAGTGCGTTTTCAAAATTTTACTTAAATTAAGCGATGAATTTAGTTTCTGATTTAAATTATTTGAACCGATCACCAAGACCGTCGAAAAACGGGGTGAGGGGGTTTAATTTTCCCGGGCCAGGCTGAATTTTAAGGGCCCAGACAAAGAATAACATTGAAAAAAAGGAGTAAATAAAAAAATGCAAGTATGATAAATCATAGAATAAAATGTTTTATTTGAAAGATGGATTTTGTGCTTTTCTCGAATATGAAACATGTACATTAGGGCGGGGCAATTTTTTTTTTGCTATGCGCGTGTGAAACTATTTCGAGGAAAATGTGAAAATTTTCACTGTTGCGCCCTCTGGTGGAAGGTTTAGGAAAAATATAAGCGCTGAAATGGATTCCTCATACGAAAAAACCCCTTATAGCAAGTTTTTATACAAAATTTAAGCACTTCTTTACGACACTACAGCAAAATGCTAAGTAACCTATTTTTCCAATTTGTCAAACTCCAAATTGATTTTAGACCCATAGTTTCTTTGGCAAATTTGCTTAGAATTACGCGTAGAATCCTTCTATGCTTTACGCGCATAGCCGAAAAAATCTCCCATGTGCAAAACTGAGCCAGCAGTGATTTTTTTTAAATATTTCTAAGGTTTTTAAAGTTAACATTTTTTAAATTTTTTTTAAATTAGAAGGGCTGTTACGATTATAATAAAACTGCGAGATCGTAATCTTGTTGTAGTGCTTAATCCGAATATGCCATAAAATTTATAGTTTGACAGTTGACAGCTGTCAAAAAAAAACTGTTAATTTTTCTAAATATAAGAAAATATTTTTTAAAATGCTACTGACACGGGTTTTAGACATGCTGATCACGTATTTTATGTCAAATTAAAACCTTAACATTTGACAGCTGTCAAATGGACTGTGAATTTTTCTAAAAATACGACAATATTTTTAAAACTGCCACTGATTAGGTCTTTAGACATGCTGATCACGAATTTTATGTCAAATTAAAACTTTGAGAGTTTACAGCTGTCAAGTAAACTGTTAATTTTTCTAAAAATAAGCAAATATTTTTTAAGATGCTACTGATACGGGTTTAAGACACACTACCCCCGAATTTACGTCAAATTAAAATACCTAAAGAGTTTACAACTATCGTAGGGGCTGTCGATCTCTCTAGAAATAAGGAGAATTTCCCAATAATTAAACGTGTTACGTTTTAAGACTCACTCATCTCGAGTTCTGTATCACATTCAAACTTTTTCGGTTGTTATATGTTCAGTCTAAACAATTTCATTCAAATCGACTAGCGAGAGAACTTCTTTGGCCGAGATAAGCAAGAAGATTAAAACGAAAGAATTTTTTCGATAAAATCAAATAATGTGCAATATGGTTGGATAATAATTTTTTATATCCTAAATTTAATCATTTTCCGCTCTGGCTGACATCCAACAGAAAATCCAGTGGCCGTGCGGCTGGGAGATTTGTCCTTTCGACCGAACACAGCCTACTGGATTGTAATTAATTAAATATGGAGATTTGAAGCTTTTTGTTAGTTTCGTAAGAAAAATTCAGTAAATCAATAAAACTGTAGATACCAATCCATATCCACTTACCTTGCGAGTTGGGTTCTGGCAAATTATCACGCGGCACTAAATGCATTACAGTCGTTTTGCCTAGCGGAAGTCCCAGTGCTCCTAATGTAACATTGCAATGTAGAAATCTACCTTGATATATGAGACGTAATATTTCGGCCTTGGAGACGGCTTCGCGTTCCCAATCTGCAATGGAAAATTCGTAAAATGCAAGTATTTAAAATTTAGTGTGTCAAATGGGGGTTTAAATGCACTGTGCGACAGTTCTATGACAATTCAAATCAGTCAGGACTTTGCATACATATCCTGGGCTGGTTTCCGCTGTAGCACAGTGATATTTTAAGGTTAAAGAAATATTGTAGTACATACTTTAAACCAGTACTATTTGGTTTAACAAGAACCAAATTAATATTTGCAGCTAATTACAGTGGCTTTTAAAATACGTACTATATACATTAGGTTGGTTCTTAAAAATGTCAACATTTAAGTTTTGTGTAGGCAACCCTTCATTTTGTTCGTAGAAAATTTATACATAGCAGGTTAAAGGAAAACAATTAAAAAAATTTTAAACCTGGTAGCCATAAAAATTTGTTCAACATTTTTTAATTTTCTTAAAGGTATTTACAGGGTATAAAATAATAACTGTCGCACAGGTTTTTTGGAAAATAAAAGGGCCTTTTAAAGATTTTGCGAAAAAGTGTTTTATTGTTAATCATACACAGAATTTATTTTAATTCCATTAATTAGTTTTTAAATTTAACTTTTATTTGGGTTTACCAGCGGTAATCACTTGGAGAGAAAAGCACAAGCGGCACGCAAGTACTCGTCAATTAATTTATTCCATATCTTAAGCAACCATTGGCTAATTTCCTCCATTTTGAGTCCCCCTTTTAACCAACATAAGGCCTCATACTCAGCAATCGTAAAGATCGGAACAGATGACTAGGACGGCCATTCATTCGACTAACCCTATACAGTTTTTCTTTTTTTACAAAGTCTAAGAAAAAATATACCTGAAAAGACTTGCGTGCCGCATTTACGTATCTCGCAAAGTTTAAAATTTACTTTTAATTAATAAAAATAAAGTATACTGTGCAACAGTTATTATTATACACCCTGTATTATATACGTAGATATTTTTAAAGGCCCACCCTAATGCTCATAGATATAGCAAAATAAATTGCAACACCAACAATTGCCTTCTCCTCTTTTCACACTCTCTGAAAAATGGAAGTTTTAGATTGTACCTAATATCATCAAATAAATGCGCCTAAATGAAAAATATTGTACCTAAAAAAGTTGCATTATTCGTTTGCGGGTTTTTAGTTAATCTTATTTCACACATGAATACAGACGATGGATGTACTTTCAATTTGATTAGGTTTTTTGTTTTTAACTGAGCTTATATTATCGGCCGCTGTGGTGCAGTGGTAAGCAGTGCGCGCTTCCACTCCGCAACGCGTGGGTTCAAACCCTGATCAAAGCAACATCGCAAAAAAATACAGAAAACAGGTTTTTTCTTAACAGCGGTCGTCCCTCGGCAGGCAATGGCAAAGCTCCGAGTGTATTTCTGCCATGAAAAACAGCTTCTCATAAAAATACAATCGCCGTTCGGAGTCGGCGTAAAACTGTAGGTCCCTCCGCTTTGTGTGACAACATCAAGGCGCACGCCACAAATCGGAGGAGAAGCTCGGCCAAACACTAACATATGTGTAAGCGCCAATCTATTATTATTATTATTATTAATCTATATACCAGCTACGTCCAAGTCATGTCTCACCACATAAAAAAGCCAAATCAATGTTAAAATCGACTTCAATAAGTTCCTCATTAGCTGGGGTAGAGTCCATTTAAAAAAGCTTAGAGGATCTCGTTCCTTAAATTAAAAAATCTTTTTCCTAACATTTACCGCGACTAAACCCACATACTTCCGTATATAAAAGCAAATCTCCGTAATTATTTTCCAATTCTTCACGAAAAGTTTTAAATTTTCGATGCGTCAACGCGTATGACCCCAATTTATTTTACTTATTATTTTCACTGCAATTTCCATTGCATAATTACGTTACCTTAGTAAAAATATAACTCTGTGCTATGTTTGCAGATTTTTTTGAGTGTATCGATGAGCTTTCGACACAAAATGTGATTGCGTAAGCTTGCGTATGAGTTGGACGAAGCTGCTATAGACTATAGCCTAATGGGAATCAAAGAAGCTTTGTTTTTGTTTAATTTTTACTACTGAAGAATATTGACGAAAAGGACAAAAAAAAACACTTTGAGAAGTTTACTCTTTTATCGAGCTTTTTATAAAGCAACACTCTTTAATAGGTGCAGCAAGTCTAGACAATGGGAATTGCGGTTAGGTAACTTTGAAAGCATTTTAAATATACTTAAAGAAATCAAATAGCGAATATGGTCCATAAGAAATCCTAGACACAGGACTGTATGGGCGAATAAAATTAATAGAAAAGTTAAAAGTGTTATCATATGCGGGGAAATTTGGCTTCTATGGTCTCAATAGATTAAAAAATACATTCCAACAATTGCAACGCTAGAGCGTTTGTATATTTCACACCGTCATTTCTTTAGAATTGTTTATTCTTCAAAATGAAAGCGAAGGAAAGAGGAAAAAGAAAACAACTAAAAATGCATCTGATAAAAATATGATTGCACCTAAAATCAAGTGATTGTACATAATGTACCTTTAAGTCAGTAAACGTCGGAAAATGGTACAATTGTACCAAATTTTTCATCCCTGTTCCCCATACAAGTTGCAACTCACGAAGCAGCCTTTCACTCCACATTCGCCACGCCATTCGAATATGGTTGCATTGTTCCGCTCGTATGCTCAGAGTGAATTTGTGCTTATCATACGAGCAGTCGCTCCTAGGTTCAATGCACAAAACAAAATTTTATTCTAATGGTAGTTGTCATTCGCCAGTAAACGGTGCGCACTATACGCAACTCACAAAAGTGCATTCGTACCAGTGGCGGCCATTATACTTTACAAATCGAAGAAGCTTGGCCTAAATCCCTTTCAAGGCTATTGTACCATTATTATGCTGTTACACCCACTTGCGCAAGTGCATCGTTTGATAATAGATTGTGGTTGCCGCTGCCGCCGCCGGTACATTTGTTGTAGGTGTACGTGATGGCGCGCTGAGAGTGCAGAACTTTAAAAGTACCGACGAGCGTACAATTGTGGGCCATCATAATCGGTTACACAGTTGTTGTCTCGTTTGTGTCCGTCACGTGGACGCA